CTATTGCTAACTTGGATTTAATAGGTCCACTTGGGGGTTTGTAGCACAAATGGATGAAATGAGGAGGATTATCAGACGCTGCAGTGACTCCCAGATAAGATCCCATCTTCAACTCCTTGCACTGCCCTGCAGTCAAGATGTTTGCAGATAGAACATAACTGTATGAGGAAGCGATTTCTGAAGCCTCTGCCGCTAGTGCAGCTGCAGCATAAAAAGGCACATTAGATCAGCATATAAGATCTGTCTCCTCTTTCTTAATCAAAACCAAATACAGCCTTTTCTTAAACAAAAATCAAGAATAATGCATATACTAACCAGGTACAATGGCTGGTGAATTCACAAGCTCTCTTCCAAATACTACAGCAGATGAAACATCTTCAGCATACTTGAGCTTCTTCTCCAACTCTGGTCCAGTTCCAAGACCAAGAATATCCACAGATTTCAGATGTGGTTTCTTTGATTCTGACGTATCTATTATCTTCATGTATTCCAAGCACCATCCCTATGAGAATGCAAACCATCAAACTACGATCAATCTCAATCTATCCAATAAGAACATCAATTGTGATACTAAGATATCATAAAGACATTACCAGATGCTATTGCTGAAGCAGTACTAAGCTTTGACTCATTTGAGAGACCTTCTGATGAGGCAAGGACAACAGCAACGCTATTGGCTTGAACAGTCTTCGCGGCTGCAGCAACAGACTCACCCAGTTCAAGACCAATCAAACCAACCCTTTTGGAGCCAAGTTCAGGAAGTCTAAGAACTGTTGATTGGCCAGTTTTTCCCGTGAAATCCTCCTCAGAGGAGGCCTCAGATAGGAGACCACCTAAAAGTCCATCTAATTTTTTTCAAAATTGAGTTTTCAAACTTGGAGTTTTCATCCTTGGTCATGTCTTTTTCAGTGACACCAACTGCAAGCATGTCCCCCTTCCATTCTCCTACATCGACCTCTTTCGCAGCAAAAGTGATCTTTCCAACATTTTTCACAAAATAGAAAACAGACATTTCAGTATCATATTTTTGGTATTTCACCAATGAAAACACACACAAAGAAACAACCTTCTCATTTAGAAACCAAAAGTTAAGACATTTTGCAGAATTGATCAGTGCCCAAAGTGTAGCTAATATTTACTCCATTAATTTCAGAATTGAGCCTATAGCCTTCAAAGGTCAATTCTTTAGAAAACAAAAGTACCTCCGAACGACTAACAAAAATATCTCTTTTGCAGCAAAAAGCCATCTTTACAGAATTTTTCACAAAATAAAAAACAACAATTTTAGTATAATTTCTTTGTATTTCACCAAAATGAAACACACACAAAGAAACAACCTTCAAATTTTGAAACCATTAGTGAAGCCAAGGATCTAATTATGATGGTCTTATCATATACATATCAAACATTGACAAAATCAAGCTGATATTATTTACTCCATTAATTTTAGAATTGAGCTTACAGCCCTCAAAGGTCAATTCTTTACGAAAAACAAAAGCATCTCCTAACAACCAACAAAAAGTTCATTTTTCTCTTGAGAAAGATAAATACTCCATAAGCATTATTCAACCCAAAACTCTCAATCTAAAACCCAATTTTGCTCGATCCCAACAGAGCAAAATAAAAAATGGGTCACCTTGGGTTGTTGAATGTTGGCTGCCTGAGTAAGGCCGAGATTGTCGCTAGCGAGAGAGTGAGCCATAAACTTTGCTCGTTGAGAACACAAAGGCGCAACTGCAAAAGACAATCTAAGCCCAGCTGAAGACCGTAAACTTGTGAAAAACAAAGACGAGGTAGAAGAAGCGTGTGAAACAGATGGAGCTAAAAGAAAAGAAGGAGAAGACGCTACAATGGTGGCCACCATTATTTTTTTTCCAAGAGCTTAAAGCATTGAACTTTGAAACAGAATTGTGCATCGACATCATTTTCTTGCCCATGTCATCTAATCTATCCCAAGTTTTGCGAGCTCATATCTGCCCCTTCGGGCTCCTAAACTTTTTGGCTTTTGGATTTAAGTCGATGTTGTGTGTTGTTGGGCTTTCATCAAACGCAAGTCCCAATAACTTAGGCCTATATGCCAGCATCAAGCTCCTTGCAGGTGCTCACAATTATAGCCGCCCCCCTCCAACATCCCAAAACACACTCTGTAAAATTTCACAACGGCAGTAGCATTATTATGATGGAATTAGTGCATGATTAAAGGTTAGTATTAATGAAATTAACAACCTTTTTCTTTTCCATTTCATTTGAGCAGACTTGAAAAATGATAACAAGGAAATTACAGTTCAATATTGATCAAGTTCTCCATTCAGGTTAGTAGCTCAATTTCTTGCACCATTTGCGCAGTTAAATGATATTGTTGTTGTAATCGTGAATTGGCTTATGTTTTATCACCTGACATTGATGTTTGAAAAATACCATTCATGAAATGAAACTGGCACTGCCTGAAACGTAGAAGGTAGTAACTTCCTTCATGCACCGAAGGTTTCTTTTGTTATTGCTATTGCCAATTAGTTTGGCTGTTACTTGATAGTGTTGATGGGAAATCAATCAATCAAAATGCATCCTTGCATAACCTTATTTTTGAGATATTTTCCAATTGTTAATAATGTGTATATGATTTCTAGCTTACCCTTTGCAATTGTTGGTGAAATAGTTGATGCATCCCCAGCAGGACTGCAGGAGCGTAAGCATATTTAAACCCTAATCAATCAGAATTTGAGATAGACAGTTTCTTGGGGATTTTGGACTATTTTAAATTGTGTAAGCAAAAAAAAAGTATTTTGGTTAACTGCAAATTATATTTTGGTTAAGTCATACCAAAATAGAAGTCATAGTTATAATGATTGATGACTGATTCTAGTAGTAGCTATTCGGATATACATTGATTGTAACTGCACTTATAAATATACTTTAACTTACAAAATATGAGAAGTATGGAATTGAAATTTGTAAAATCAGTAAACCCCTCATCTAATCACAGTTCAACAACACAAATATTAATAGATAACCATCACTTAGAAATATGAGTTTCAAAACATATTTTGATTTGTGCTTGATAATTATTACATTGAAATAATTAAGAGTGATAGGCTACCTATAAAAGTTCTTTTTCTTTTGTTTTTTGCCTCTCCATTTTGAGCAGAGACCAAAGTGCTGAATAAGTCTTTTTGATTTGAAGTTTTGAAGAATGAAACCTTTGTCCTTTTTCACCCCACTTTGATTATATGCCAGAAAGGGTTTGACATGCTTTTGCTTTTTAAGTTTTTACGAACTTTCTTTCACGTCTTTTAACTTTGATCCTTTACTTTCTTATGTTGTACTATGGTAGTATATTTGTCAATGGAATGGCACAATCAGAGTCCCAACTACCCACTGTATGTTGCAGGCTTGAAAATCTAATAAAAGTGCTTGGTAAGGAAACTTGATTCCTCATTTGTCCATGTTTCTCGGTTGATGACTCCCACTTTCATACATGCATACATAAATGCATGCACATAGAGACATTTGAATCTGCTTAATAAGTAACTATGTCCCTTAAACGAAGTACCGAGTTTGAGTCTTGTAGCTGAAAAAAAAACATTTTTGAGAGAGCTTGACTCCAGAAACAGAATCCTACTCAAGTAACTCAACACAAACCCAGACTTATTTGGAACCCTTGAGGCTACTGGAGACCAGCGGTCTTAGAAAAAAAAAAGATGTTTCAAATTCTGTAAGGTTTGGTATTCATATATATTGTCTTGGTACTAGTTTTCTTTGGGATTCATCTATATTGTCTTAGTACTTGTTTTCTTTCTGAAACATAGAAATCCTACTAACTTTTCATAAGCAGTGAATTGTGGATTTGGCCAAAAAAAAAAAATGGGGGGAGGGGTTTAATCTTATGTTACATGTTTTTGTTGTTGATCAATTCCCCGCACCATAAAGGTAAGAAGTGATGAAACCAAGCTTAAAAAGTTGAAAAAATTGATTAGACCACAGAGAAGATTACTCACCTAATGTTAAATTGTTTTCCCCTTTTTTAGATGAAATGATGTGATTTGGGTAAATTGGACTGGTCAACAAAGATCACCTTCAATTCTAGCATTGCTTAAATGGATTCAGCCCTAGGTTAAACATATAATTACTATAATATATCATGGAAATAGTGTTGCAACATTTTGAGGTAAGTTTTTAATTTTCTATTGATTTGTTGGCCGAAAATTCATGTTTTTGTTCAGCCAAATTGGTTTAAGCAGAGCCAGAGAAAGCTGTCAATGAAGGGCTCAATAAAGGAAAGGAGTTCCCTGCCTATGTCCGAGCCAGTGGGTGCTTGAGATAGGTACAGGATTAATAACCATTGTCTTTCTGGCAAACAGGGCTAAAAAACTGGGTTTTTAGACTAGGGACAAGTAAGTTCCATTACCATGCTCCAAGATAACATGGTATGCTATACTACAACCATGGTCATGGATGGTTCCGTAAGTCAACTTGTATAATCTAATATTGAGCTCATTAAACTGGATCAAAACATTAATAAAAACTTCAAAAATATAAGCCCCGTTGAATGAGTTATTTGGTACAACAATCCCTCGCTTTTAAGCTACAAACATACATTTAAACGGTTACAGTTTTAAGGAGAGAGAGAAAGGATTCAGCCTATTTCTTAAGCCCTCTCTAAACTTCACAAAAGCCAAATCTTGCTAATATCATATTGCTTGTGTAGTAAGTAAAAAATCCTGTTGTTTGTTATATTCGTATAAATTAGGAATTATTTTATCACCTGAATATATTCTTTGCTGTATCTTTTGCTTCTCTTGTGAGAATCCAATGCTTAATAGTACAGATGACATGTCTCTTTTTTTAGTTATTAGATGATAATAAATATGATATAATGTTGAATTTGAAGAAGAAAATATGAATAGAATACATGGAACACAATCGTAATCTTTCCCATTAATAACAAGAAGGATCAAACTCGAGAGATGCGCATGCGCATAATATTCCGATGGTGCTACGTATCTGTAAAGAAGGATCAAACCCGAGATTGGATGCATAAAGCTTCACTTAAAAAACAGTAACTTTGATGGTTGAGTGGTAACCTCAATTCTTACCAGCTGTGATGTTAATGGAAGAAACGAAGTTTATAAAAGCAAATGTTTTTCAAGAAAAGAAAATGTAAGATAAAAGTCCCAAGAAGTAACCGGGAATAGCAGGTAACAAATAGGTCACTAAATGAAAATTCTGTAAATAAAATACCAATCTTTGCTTGACTCTCTCTTCCACGCTTTGGCTTCTTTTCTTCACTTCAGTCTCTGAATTGTAGGTAATTGTAATGTAGAGTATCCATCAAATTCCCAAAGATCGAACCCATTTTGTTGTTGTTTCTCTTCGAGTCTCTGATCGAATTTTCTGGGTCACTATCCCTCATTTTCTCGGGAAAAAGGAAAGAGGAAGAAAGTATGGAATTGGCAGCAAATGTGTCTGCTTTTTTCGTAAACGAGTGACTGAAACAACACATTCAGAAACAAAATACTACAAATTCTTTAGATAATTGAAATGAGAAACTCTTTCTCTCTTGTTTTTCACAACGCAGAATGGAATCTCTGTTTTTTCGAGGTTAAATTCGAATTCGTTTTGTTTTTTCTTAGCTTTTAAGTTTGAACCTTTAGCTCCTGCTTCTTAAAACTGATCTCATTTTTTGTTTCTGTACTGATTTTTAGGGTTTTCAAGCTGATTTTTGAAGATGAAATGTGGATTTAGTGCGGTAATGAGAGATAGAGCTGTGGATTTTTGAGGATTTGAGTGTAGCCTAGAGTGGGTGGTAGAATTGTAAATTTGAGGAAGTTTTCTGGGGTGAAAATGGCAAAAAGCTGAGATCTGTTTTGGGAGCTTTTAAGGGAATGGTTGATGATTGTGTGTACTGTAAGTTCAAAAAAATGTATGCAATTGTATTTGAAGTGGTTTAAGATTTGTGTTTACGAGGAATATGATGATTTTACTAGATTTCATTGTTGAGTTTTGATCATTTTGAGGGTTGTTTAGGCAAAGTTCAGAATTGGACTGAACTAAAGAGCTGATAAAGTGGGAACTTATGTTTGCTTTGAGGTTTATAAAAAACTGATACCTCTAAAATTAGTGTTGCTTTGATAGATTTCTTAGTCTCTGTCTGGTGCTCCGAGATTGAGGTCCATGAATACGGCTGATTCCGAGGCAAGGCCCGTATTGGGACCTGCAGGGAACAAGGCAGGTACATTGAGTTCAAGAAAACCAACTTCAAAGCCATTAAGAAAGATTGAAAAGTGTCCAGCTGAGGCCACTTTAGCAGAGGAGAAAAATGACCTGCCGTCACCTAAAGTTAATTCTCTTTCCCCCAAATCCCATTCTGTTAGTGTTCATTCAGTGCTTCGCCGCCACGAACAGTTATTACATTCTAATTTATCACTAAATGCCTCTTGTTCCTCCGATGCTTCCACGGATTCATTTCACAGTCGAGCATCCACTGGTGGTAGGTTCATTCGGTCAAACAGCTTTGGAACTAGGAGGAAGCCGTACTTGTCAAGTCCAAGAAGTGTTGTTTCTCATGGTGGTTTGGGTTCTCCACCCGACGGTTCACATCAGAGGAAGAGATGTGCTTGGGTGACACCAAATACAGGTTTGTTGTTGTAGCCTCCAATTCCTCACTGTTTAATGATTGATTAAAATGTTGTGTTCAACAATTTCTTACGGTTTGTCCAAGTATTAGGGTAGAGAAAATTCCCTGCACTAAGAACATCTTCTGCCTTAGGCTAGTTTCGATTAATACGATCATAGGAACGATGAAGGGTCAGCTTCTAGCCAAATGAACCCAGAACCAACTAGGGTGGCGATTTTCCTCTTATTATGATTGCCAAACTTTACCGCTTTTGTAGGATTTTTATGATTTAAATCGAGCAATAGGTTAAATTTGCCTTGGATTTTTATCCTTCTGACTTCATCTACAATCCGTTTACTCGATATCATCACGCTTAAGACGGTTGTTACCAAGTACATGATATGGCATTAATAGCATAAATGCTAAGCATTCATATGTTCAAGCGTCATATTCAAAACGAGACTGTCAGATCCAGTGCTTTAATTTTCTCCTACTTCATGTTTTTTGTTGACATAGTTATATTTGTTGGGATCAGATCCGATTTATGTTGCTTTCCATGATGAAGAGTGGGGAGTTCCGGTGCATGATGACAAGTATGTGATCTCGATATTATTGCCCGCATCTGGTTGTCGTTGATTAAATGGTTACCTCTGATAAAAAAAGAAAAAAAAAAGAAGCATTTCATTGAATGGGTAGTTTGCTTGAAATTATTGCCCATGTGCAGGAAATTGTTTGAGCTGCTTGTACTTGCGGGCGCATTGTCTGAACTTACATGGCCGGCTATCCTTAGCAAAAGACACATCTTTAGGTAATTTTTCCCACACATAAGTTCGATCTTACTTAAGTTGAATAAGCAACTTGTTTCTAGAAGTGTCTCTTATGCAGGGAGATTTTTGCGGATTTTGATCACGTTGCTGTATCAAAACTGAATGAAAAGAAGTTAACAGCACCTGGTAGTACGGCAAGTTCCTTGTTATCGGAACTAAAGTTGCGTGCTGTCCTCGAGAATGCACGCCAAATGTCAAAGGTAGGTAAATTCTCATTCTTATTTGCACCATCTTTTAACCTTGGTTGGCAACTTAGCATGAAAATAGTGCTCCCAAAATCACTTGTAAGTAGCACTTGCTAGTAACAGTGTATTTACAATTTGATTATATATATTTATTTTTTGCATTTAATGATTCCTATCTATTAAGATGCCAGCATGGCAAAATCCCAAGTCATCACTCTCCATAGTGGCTATGATTACCAATGCAACTAACTTTTTGCAGGTTTTGATGATGGCAGGTTATAGATGAGTTTGGGTCATTCGACAAGTACATCTGGAGTTTTGTTAACCGCAAACCTATCGTTAGCAGATTCAGGTATCCACGTCAGGTTCCGGTTAAAACTCCGAAAGCAGATGCCATTAGCAAAGATTTGGTAAGAAGGGGTTTTCGAAGTGTGGGGCCAACAGTCATCTACTCTTTCATGCAAGTGGCGGGAATAACAAACGACCATCTCACGAGTTGTTTCAGATTCCAGGACTGTATAAACACAGCAGAAGGAAAAGAAGCAACTGGGACCAAAGATATGCCCGAAGAGGAAAAAACCAATAGCATGATTGGATCAGAGTTATCCATAGCTATCAATGACTTGAGTTTCTCCTAAGAATGATATTGGCAGACGGCAGATGACGCTCCAGGTTCGATCATCAGTTTTACCACATTGACTGATTCACTGCTCTTTTGTGTAGTAATTAAGGTGGTTTTGTGAATAAAATTTCATGAACAACTATGCATACTGAATTTTCTAGATTGTAGATCTTAAAGTAAACTAAATTTAACCAATGAATGTGCTGTTTGATGGGGCATGTCATGGAAGTCTTAAAATATGATGTACAATTTTCTTGCCCCTTGTATAGTTAGAAAGTTTAGTAATCAGAGATGATGTTTCAACATGCCAGACCCCAACAGCAGAAAACCATATTCGCCACCGGATCTGTCCCTATCAAATTCTTGACTATACGGTTAATAAGTGTGGATCGATTTTATTTGTTCACCCTGTAAGTTGTTGGGAGAGCTAAACCTACACAGACAACTCCCATTTGCTTTAAATGGATGGCAATAATGGTTAGTGGCAAAATGTTAGTACGTCCTAGAAGGACCTTGTGGAAGGACTCCATCCAAAAGGGCATGCTTCTATTGTACCCAATATCACTAATGATGTAGGGTCCCCCTGTTTCCTCCTGTTATTGACATAATAATGTATTGATGGATGTTTTATCTGAAAATGGCTAGAATACTTCCAAACTCTACCTATTTAGTCCTACTATGCTTTGCACTAGATCTGATTGGTAACCACTAATTTTTTTCTTGCAAACATAAAGGCTTATAAAGGGATTTGCATTGGCTAATGACTACAAAATCACCTCCTTAATGAATACAAAATCAGTGACCACAAAAAGGCAGGCAGATTTTTTTTCAGTGTATTTTTTTAATTATATTATATATGCATAGCTAAGCTCTTAAATGCTGTAGTTGTAACCCTTTAACCCAACAAATATGCATGGCTAAGCTAAGCTCTTAAATTCCAGCTCATGTAACATAAAAAGAAAAGGAGAAACTGAAACATGGTTCCAACTAAGGTGACAAGAAAAGGGTTGCCAATCAAATCTATATCGTTTCCACAACTATAATAACCTTGTTCCTAGTTCCTACAAGATTGAGAGGGGATACAACAGAAAAGCATACAGCAAAGCGTAAGGAAAACTACAATTAAGAAAATCAAACCTGACCATTCAGTATTTATACAGAGATGCATGATATTAACAACACTCAGCATGGCTTGATTTCAAATCCAATACTCATAAGTGTTCGAGCTGATTCAATTGCCTTCTCACCTCCTAGATCTAGGGCCTCACCAGTTAATTCACCTTCTGTACCTACTGACCACTGGGTTGATCTAACTTGGCTTTGCCCTCCATCAGTTTTTATGAGTTGTATGTTGTTCATAGAAGCAGGTGCAGCAGCGGCAACAAGAGGTGCATTTGGTTGGCCATGTCGCTTCTTGGGTACAGGCATGCCATGGTCATGAACACCTTTATATGTTATAATGACAGCATTTTTATTATCTACAGCTGTCTCAATATGCTTACGTACAGGGCACCCGGCAGAAGTGCATCTATAGTAGTTCCTAGAAAACATTCATCGCTAAAGAAATAAGAATACATCCGATAGAATGCATACAGGCTCAAGTAAATTGGAACATAACAAATGAGTTAAAGAATGAACTCGGAAGGACCAAATTGGTCAAGCAGAGAATTAACCAAAAAAGAAGAAAAAAAAGCAGAACAAATGCTGGCTCTCGAACAATAGCCTAAGAGAATATTTCTCATTGGTTCGGAACAGTTATAGATGCAGCACTGACAAAATTTGTTAAACAAATGAACCAGCCATCTTTGCAAAGCACTGTAAAAGGTGTTGAGAGCAAAAGCAAGGACAAAGGCCACTAGAGCTTTTTAGTATAAATTCCAAAAAAACCTCTACCATACAAATGAATGGTTTTTCTAATATTTCAATAAAACAAAGACATGTAGTAAACATAGAGGGTCAGGTCACATACCACATACACATACAAGAAGCAAGCTACCATAACATAAAAATTAAAATGGAAACAAGGCTGAGTAGTCATATGGATTGGGTAATTGTTTAAATGGATAATAAGAAAAAAACAATGAGAAGTGAACTGGCACCTGGGATTAGAATTTCCTTTCACCATTTTCTGCCCATATTTTCGCCATCTGTATCCATCACCAGAGATCCCTACATCACCAGCTGCATGCACAACAAATCTAGGTTTCTTCCAAGTTTTTAGGAAAGAATCAGAACACACGACATTGCTTTTCTTCATCCTGATTATTGAAGGAAGACAATAAAAAAACCTTATTAAAATGAGACTCACAGACCGGATGCATGTACATATATGTATCTATATTCTATATCATGAAGTCAAAGAAAACAAAGGCAAACAGAAGCTTGTAGGAATGCTTGCCTTTTTTTTGGCTCAGGTTCACTTGTAAGCTCTTCCTTCACTTGCACATTGTCATTCCCATCAGAGCCACTTGAACATGGTCTTTTTCTTTCAGGATTCACAGTTGTTTCTGGTACAGAATCTTTAGAGGATGTGGATGGATCAGAATCATTATGTATTCTGATGGGCTGGACTGTAACAATATTGTGTGAAGCATGTGCAGCGGAGGATACTTTCTTACTTTCCCTTGCAGGGTTATTTTTCCGTGGTGGTTCATGACTATGCATGCCTTTATTAACAATCTCTATTACATGGCCAGTGAGATCAGAGCATTCTATCTTTTTGGCCTGACAATCAGAGAATGTGCATTTGTAATAACTTCGAGAACCTTTAGGACTTTTCACTTGCTTCTGACCATATTTCCTCCAATTGTAACCATCAGATGCAGGTCTCTTCAAAATGGGAACAACAGATACCATTTTAAGATTATAAGATTTTTGCTGGTTTGCTTCTGGCGCAGATGCACCATTAACTTTCTGGTCTGAAAGGCTTTGTTCTTGTAGAGGTGTAGTGGAAGCAGATGATATACCTTGTGTAACAGACGTTGGTGATAGTTGTGCCAAAGAAGTTGGAGAAATAAATGATTGAAGCTGATTTTGTGTAGAGCCTTCAGCACTCTGGACGGTCAAAGTAGCGGAAACTTCCTGGTGGGCTATGTTAACTTTCTCCTAAGATATTAAACCAAGACGAACTCCATTAAAAGAACAATTCGATCATAGAGAAATTTAAGTGTATGTGTCCTTTTCTCATTTCGGGCACTTTTATAATTTTTTCTATCTAAGAGGAACTCAAATGGTAAGACAAGCAGATTCGTAAAAAATTTAAGGCCACATAGATCCTTTGACATCATTGTTTCGAAGAACTCATTCAATGATCTAACTATAAGAAGAACATAAATAATCACTAAAATAGTAAAATTCAACAGAATACGAAGTTATAACTGCTAGAGCTCTGACTAGGATTATCAAATGTTCGCAGGAAATGATTCTGCGTCCTCTTCCCCATTTTCCACTGAAGTTTATATAGGCTTTTATCCTTTTGGCCTCCGTTTTTACATTTAAAGTTAAATTTAATCCTTGTGTCACATACAATAACCCATAAGTTTCCAATAGATTTCCATTAATAAGTTCTATTGTATTCTAAAGATGACAAGTTTAACAACAACGGAGCAGACTTCATATGAGGTGGTACTGCATCCTATAATTAAACTATACAGAACCATAGGGGTGTATTAGCTGGCTACTTGTGCAAGCTAAGATAATCAACAACATTTGAGAAAAAAATCCTTAATTAACAGTCATTATTACAAGCTAACCTTAAACTCAGCTCCTTCCTTTGGTTCAGAGTTAGCATTCACCTTAACCCTGAGAGATCACCATATACTCCCTCATTACAATGCCAACATTTTTCTTGGAATTAAAAAGGAGCTTACTTTATTGAGAATTAGGGGGAGATACCATTTTTTTCCCCATAAAACACACTTAAAAAATATCTTACCCTCAGAACGATCATCATTCGCTAGAGTTTTCAATTGACAATCTCTCAATCCAGCATCACTCGAAAGCGCCGCTCCAGCACCGCCTGACTCAGTGACTCGACTCACTCCTTTTTCCTCTTCGTCCTCCAACTCGCCATCTTCTCCATCGTACTCTCCTTGAAAATCGTCGTTTTGGTGTTCCTCGTGTCGTTTCGTGTGAGATGCTCGGCTCTCAGTCTCGGCCATGCCCGAATTTTCCTCGGCGAAAAATAAGAGAGTAAAGTAAGCAAACAGTTTGTATTCTTTCCGTGCTCTTTCTGTTTAAAAAAGTATTTAAAAAATCTGATACAATTTTATATTTTTTACGTGTCAATTTATTAATTCATTGATAATTATTTTATAGGATATATAAGATTTTCAATTTATTAAGATAAATTATTATTACCCTAACGAAATAAAATGTTTTTATGAAAGAAGACGATGTTCATAAATTAACAGTTAATGACATCAGTAAGTATCATATTTGAAATACACATTGGAGACTCTAATCATAAAATATATATATATATAAAGAAATAGATAAAGCGAACTGAGCTAAATTGTGAGCGGTAGTGTTTGCGGAGCGACGAATACCAACAACCCGAAAACCATGACGATCGTGGAGAAATTGACAGGCGTTGGTGAGATGGAAACCAACGGTAGAAATATCAAATTGCGATGTCGTTAACTGATGGGCAAGGACAACATTGGCAACATCACTTTCAACCCATACTTGCGCAAATTGTAACTCAACAGCCAAACGGAGACCATATGTAATAGTGGTTGCTTCCGCCACTCTAGCATCGCAACATCCGGAAAATGGAATAACCTGGCAAGCAACCACCGAACCATGATGATCCCAACGATAACATCGACGACAACCTTCTGGGAGAGAACATGATGCATCAACATTAATATTAAGGACTGCACCAATGATCAGAGGGGGACATAACAGCCGGTAATGATGAACCGAGTATCCAATTGCAGCATCAAATGAAGCAAGGAAGGCCGTGCTTAATCCAACCACCTGCCAATCCGGAGAAAAATGTTCTTCCATAACGAAAACATTACGCCTCTGCCACACAAAATACAACACCATCAATAACAGTCGATACTCATCTCGAGTCATTACAGCTTGAAGCAAATGAAACCACTCACCACCGAGGAATAACCTGCTGTGAAGACCGTTGAACTAGTGACGCTTGTTGCCTGAAGGATATGCATCGTATCCATGCAGTCATGAGTAACATGTAAACAAGTCTCAGTCATCAGTCCACACATCGGGCATTAGTCATTCGATAAAC